CTGCAGTTGCCGCCCAACAGCTCCGCCGTGGGTGTCTATCCCTTCGGAATGGATCCCGTGTGGCAGCTGGCCGACAACAAGATCATCTTCCTGAACAGTTTCAAGATGAAGCTCTCGATCATCTTCGGTGTACTGCACATGGTCTTCGGCGTGTGCATGTCTGTTGTGAACTTCACCCACTTCAAGCGCTACGCCTCCATCTTCCTGGAGTTTGTGCCCCAGATCCTCTTCCTGCTGCTGCTCTTCGGATACATGGTGTTCATGATGTGAGTTTGTCTGTGAATATCTTTTTGGATTTTCGAACTAACGAATGTTTTTGGTCTACAGGTTCTTCAAGTGGTTCAGCTACAACGCCAGGACTAGCTTCCAGCCGGAGACTCCCGGTTGCGCTCCCTCTGTCCTGATCATGTTCATCAACATGATGCTGTTCAAGAACACCGAGCCGCCCAAGGGTTGCGACGAATTCATGTTCGAGTCCCAACCACAGCTGCAGAAGACCTTTGTGCTCATCGGCCTGTGCTGCATTCCCTGGATGTTGCTGGGCAAGCCCTTGTACATCAAGTTCACCCGCAAGAACAAGGCTCATGTGGGTTTTTATTTTAATGATTTCAAGTTAAACTTTAAATTAATCGATTTTTATTTTGTTGATAGGCCAACCACAATGGTCAGCTGACCGGCAACATTGAACTGGCCGAAGGCGAGACTCCTCTGCCCACTGGCTTCTCTGGAAACGAGGAGAACGCCGGAGGTGCTCATGGTCACGATGACGAGCCGATGAGCGAAATCTACATCCACCAGGCCATCCACACCATCGAGTATGTGCTCAGTACCATCTCGCACACGGCCTCCTATCTGCGTCTCTGGGCTCTGTCCCTGGCTCATGCCCGTGAGTATCTCTAGAAGACGACTTTTTAATTAAGTTACTAATGGATTATAATATTTCAGAGCTCTCCGAAGTGTTGTGGCAAATGGTGTTGTCCTTGGGCCTGAAAATGTCCGGTGTTGGCGGTGCAATCGGCCTGTTCATCATCTTCGGCGCCTGGTGCCTGTTCACCCTGGCCATTCTGGTCCTCATGGAGGGTCTGTCCGCCTTCCTGCACACCCTGCGTCTGCACTGGGTCGAGTTCATGAGCAAGTTCTACGAGGGAATGGGCTATGCCTTCCAGCCCTTCAGCTTCAAGGCCATCCTCGACGGCGAGGAGGAGGAGTAAACCCATCCGAATGTGCTCAAACTAGGGAAATATGTATACAATTATCGGCGAGCTTTGTTTACCCCCAGCCCGAACTATTTTGATTGTTTGTTAAATGTTTTTGTTTTGTTTAATTTTTTTTTGGATATTGTCAGTATTGTGGTGCTCTTCCCACATTTTTTGTATCCTCCGTTTTGTATTCCATATATTGTCAAAGTATTCCTCATTTGAGTTGTGCCTAGTATTCTCAGAAACCCCTTCAAAAGCAATAATTTGATATTCATTGTTATAAAGAACTACTTATACAAATACTAATTGTAATAAATATACAGCAAAGAAGAGAACAGCCAAAATGTTTATTTGTGCAGAGGTTATTCTTAAGAAAACGAGTTCTGTAGAATGCCTTTTGTTTTATTAAAATTGGACCCGTTTGTTATTTAACATAGGAAAGATTCGCTTAAATATTATTAATATATCAAGTCGATTTACTTTCATTTAAATTTCAGTTGTGTTGCATTCTTTTGGGCTGTCTTCAAAAAATGTTTGTCATCCAAGTATTTATTTTTATTATATTGTTTATGTATAAATCGATTGCTGTATGTAACGAATGTGTATGTGATGAATTGAAAATCACTCTGTAATTATCTGACAATTGATTTTTAATTCCTACTGGTTTAGAATTACACCCAGGGCGAACTATCTACTGATAGAAAATGTCTTGGGAAGGGGAATCGCAGGGAGCGGACATTCCATCACATTGATGGATTGCTCACTTGGACACCGAGTTCCCCAAATATTTATCCAAGGCAGCCAGACTGATAAGCCTGGAAAGTAGCTCGTGGGTCAGGTATTACCTCAGAACCTTCCTTTTCCAAGTCAAGTGACCACACCGATCAGTTCGTCAGCGGCGCTCCGAAAGTTAGGAGCTCATTTCGGAATATTTTAACCCAGGAAAGGAGCAACAGGATCAACAACCATGTCTAAGTGGTGGAGCTGCGGCTCCAATCAGGAGAGCAACAGCATTTTCCGCAGCGAGGTGATGTCCTTGGTGCAAATGTATCTGCAACCTGAGGCAGCTTACGATACGATTGCTGCTCTGGGCGAAGTAGGAGTTGTCCAGTTTCGTGATGTAAGTGTTTGGCGTAAAAAACGTAATCATTCAGGAATCCCGAATTATTTTGAGCCACTCAGTTCAATAACTCCAACGATCTAACCCCGGGATCTATTATTCCCATTCCTATAACAGCTTAACGAGAAAGTGAACGCCCAACAGCGGAAATTCGTGGGCGAAGTGAGACGTTGCGATGAACTGGAGCGGCGTATCCGCTACGTGACTGCCGAGCTGAGCAAGGAGGGTCACAAGGTGCTCGACCTTATGGACGATTTCCCGCCGGCTCCGCAGCCGCGTGAGATCATCGATTTGGAGTTGCATCTGGAGAAGACAGAGACCGAAATCATGGAGCTGGCTGCCAACAATGTGAACCTGCAGACCAGCTACCTTGAGCTTAGCGAGATGATACAAGTGCTGGAGCGCACCGATCAGTTCTTCTCGGACCAGGAGTCGCACAACTTCGATGTGAACAAGAAGGGCACCCACCGCGATCCCGAGCAGTCCAATGGCCACCTGGGATTCGTGGCGGGAGTGATCAGCCGGGAGCGGGAGTACGCCTTCGAGCGGATGCTGTGGCGCATATCTCGCGGCAATGTCTTCGTTCGCCGCGCCGATGTAGATGTTGCCCTGACTGATCCCAAGACGGGCACTGTTCTCCACAAGAGCGTGTTCGTGGTCTTCTTCCAGGGTGATCAGCTGCAGGCCAGGATCCGCAAGGTGTGCACTGGATTCCATGCCCACATGTATCCGTGTCCCAGTTCGCATTCTGAGCGGCAGGAGATGGTAAAGAACGTGAAGACCCGACTGGAGGACCTGCAGGCCATTATTAACCAGACGAGTGACCACAGGACATGCGTCCTGCAGGCTGCCATGAAGCAGCTGCCCACCTGGAGTGCCATGATCAAGAAAATGAAGGGAATCTACCACACGCTGAATCTGTTCAACGTGGATCTGGGCAGCAAGTGCCTGATTGGCGAGGGCTGGGTGCCCAAGAGGGAGCTGGAGTTGGTGGAGGTGGCTCTCGCAGCGGGCTCAGCCAGTGTGGGCAGCACCGTGCCCTCATTTATCAACGTGCTGGACACCAAGAAGGAGCCGCCAACTCACTTCCGGACAAACAAGTTCACCCGTGGCTTTCAGAATCTGATTGATGCCTACGGAATTGCTGGCTACCGGGAGGTAAATCCGGGTCTATACACCTGCATCACCTTCCCCTTTCTCTTCGCCGTGATGTTTGGAGATATGGGCCACGGAACGATTCTCTTCCTCCTGGGTCTGTGGATGGTTGTTGACGAGAAGCGGTTGCAGAAGAAGCGAGGTGGTGAAATCTGGACCATCTTCTTCGCCGGACGATACATTATCATGCTAATGGGTCTGTTCGCTATGTACACGGGCTTTCACTACAACGACATATTCTCCAAGTCGATCAACGTCTTCGGCACTCGTTGGGTCAATGTGTATAATCGAACCACTGTGCTGACCAATCCCACTTTACAGCTTAATCCATCGGTGGCTACGCGCGGTGTTTACCCCATGGGCATCGATCCCATCTGGCAGTCGGCCTCCAATAAGATTATCTTTCTGAACACCTACAAGATGAAGCTGTCCATCATCTTCGGAGTGCTGCACATGGTCTTTGGTGTTTGCATGTCAGTGGAGAACTTTGTGTTCTTCAAGAAGTACGCCTACATTATTCTGCAGTTCGTGCCACAGGTCCTCTTCCTGCTGCTCATGTTCGGCTACATGTGCTTCATGATGTTCTACAAGTGGGTCAAGTATAGTCCCACCACCGACGTGGAGGCCAATAGTCCCGGATGTGCGCCCTCGGTGCTGATCATGTTTATCGACATGGTTCTCTTCAAGACGGAGACGGCCACGCCTGGCTGCGATGTTAATATGTTCCCCATTCAGAAAACTCTCGAGATGATCTTCCTAGTGGTGGCCATTCTCTGCATCCCATGGATCCTGCTTGGAAAGCCTTTGTATATCAAATTCCAGCGCCGAAACAGGGTGAGATTTTCGGGTTGGCATTTTATAGACTTTAAACTAATAAAATATGTACTTTTCAGCCCGTTGGCTCCGTAGTGGAGGTGGATGAGATCGTGGAGAAGATCGAGGTTACCACAGGCAAGGAGATCGTTATTACAGAAGTACAAGAGTCTCACGAGTCAGGTGGCCACAGCGAGGAGGATGATGAGCCCATGAGTGAAATCTGGATCCACCAGGCCATCCACACAATCGAGTACATCCTCAGTACCATTTCCCACACGGCTTCCTATCTTCGTCTCTGGGCCTTGTCCTTGGCTCATGCCCGTAAGGATCTCCCATTTCCACAATTGATCCATTACTAATTAGTCATCTTATTTCAGAGCTCTCGGAGGTGCTGTGGACCATGGTGCTGGCGATGGGACTGCAGATGAACGGCTATGTGGGCGCCATTGCCCTGTTCTTCATCTTTGCCGTCTGGGAGTTCTTCACTATCGCCATCATGGTGATGATGGAGGGCCTGTCCGCCTTCCTGCACACTTTGCGGCTGCATTGGGTGGAGTTCATGAGCAAGTTCTACGCTGGAAACGGCTATCCTTTCACACCCTTCTGCTTTAGGGACATTTTGATCGTCGTCGAGGATGATTAGAAGCACATGGGAAGACCTTATCGGGTCACTCATATTTAAGAAAGTTAAATAAAGAGGCATCACAAAATATTTAGAACACATTATTTATTACACGTGTCACAACAAAAAATAACATTTGGGATTTCTTTATCCTAGTTTAATAAGAACGTAACGCAACTCATTTTAATTGAGGGTTTCTTTTTTTTGTTTGTAGATAAATCAAATCTGAATTGATCAAAGCAGAGAGCCAATACTAATCCTAACAAGTTTGGCGCTTATTTTAAAGTTTACATTGATATAGATTGAAATTATTTGATTGCTCTCATTGCGGTCTTAATGGAAATATCCAATTTGAGTTCTTCGAGTATATCGCTATTGAGAAAAAATGGGAAATTGATAAAATTGGTAAATATTGTTTATTCAGGTGCTTGTCCTAAGGACCACGGATAAAAATAATTGGCCAAATAAATGTGTTTAATAGGCACTCAGTTGAAATGAATTTAAATAATTAAATTAATATAAATTAATTAGTTTAATATAGGATCTAAATTATGGTAGTTACTTACATGGCATCACGTTCGACTTGGGCTAGAGCGCGAATATCAGCAAGCAAGCTTTTTTTGGTGGCATTGAGCAGCTCCTTCTTTTCCTTAACCTCCTTGACTTTTAATGCCAACTTCGCACGGGACACGGCCACTTCACTCTTGACCTCGTCGATGCGCTGCTGTAGTTCATGGTGGGACTGAAAGAGTAAGAATTGTAGATTAAGTTTCTGATGTTGTTAGCTCTCATGTTATTTAGCTTAAATGTCTTAAGAGTAAGAGGGTCAATTATAGTTTTCAGGACTCTGGAGCACCCCACATACCATTGTGGTAAATTCGTCATAGACCCTCTGCCCCTTCTGTGCCTCCTTGGCTTTCTGCACCTTCTTGCAATGATCATCATAGGCCTGAGCCACGGTGCTCTTTGCCTGGACCACCTGAGTAAGATACTCGACGATCCTTGCGTTTTTGGCAACCATAACGCGCAATGCGGGCATCAGGTTCTGGCCCACCTCTTCATAGTTCAAGTAGGACATAGCGGAGTACTTCACGTTAGTCAGTGCAACCAACTGTTTCTTCATTTCTGCGATATAGGCTGATCGAATAGCATTATCAGACCGCTGTATTTAAAGTCTTTATTAAATAAAACAACAAAAATAACTTTAAGGATTGAATGACTTGCCAATTGCACCAGGGCTCTTTCTATATAAGCTGGCGTTTCCTCGACATCCGCAACATTCACGGCCCTGCCAATGTCATCCTTCTTCTTGTCGGTCATGGTTTTGGTAATTTGCGATCCTTAAATCACGTTTTAAATGTCTTTTATAACTTCTTAAGCTTGGCGAAATTTTTGTCACAACTTATGGCGCAATTTTTTGGCGTCAACTATAACAAAATGGCGGAACCAGTGTTGAAAAACGACGAACATGTCGATTTCGATAGCAATCTTTGGGACTGACTTTTTCATCGATCAATTAAAGAGCGCGCTCTTTAAATTTTCAAATATTTGTATTAAGCTTACGTTTTTTCAGATGAAGTGGGGAAACCGCTTTTTAATTCAAAATATCTTTACTCTTCTGTCTATTTCCCAATTTTTTTAGCAAGAAGCATAACATTTGATAATAGCAGAAAATATATCCAACAGAAGTTAACATTTTACAGCCGTGGATCTCGAAATGTCTTGGAGTATTAACCAAGCTGAAAACCTTTTGTAGCCTAACAATTTGGACGTGATCCAAGATTTGAAAAGTCATCGTAACTTTAAACTTTCTTGTGTAACCTTGTTTAATACTACTTTTATGCTGGTCAGGTCACAACTTTTCTTGGATTTACCTACCCCGACTTCTAACAAACCGTGACCGTGATCGAGGATGCCTATGAATATGGCCTCTGCAGTGTAACCCCAACCTCAGTGGGTTACCTTATGGTTCATTGATAAACACGCAGCATTCCAACCCACGGCCCACTTTCATGTGGGCTTTGGTTACGTTGGTGGTGCTGAGCAAAAAGGTCATCCCAATGCATTGAGGGCAGCGCTCAGCGGAAAATTATTGCAGAGGTCAGCGAAATTGGAGGGAAGTGCTCAGTCGGGGAGTTTATTTAGAGGTGGTCATTCTCGAGCTCCGGTCAGTTGTGGAGCCATCGAGAAACGGGCAGGTCTCCAGTCTAACTTCCCATCTGTATCTCTAATTCTGGATTAAAATATGTGGAATTTTTCCCTGGTTCTTTTGGGCCTGGCGGTTGTGTGCTGGGCGGACACCCTGGTTCAGCTCCATGTGAATCGTCCTTATAACGATGTAAATGAAAAGTTTGTGAGCTTTGCCGTGCGGCCGGAGGATCTGTACGATGCCCTGGATGGAAAGAATCGAAAGGCGGTCACCAATTTGGCCAATCTGCTGGGAGATGCGCACATCAAATTCGTGGGCGATTTCTATTTCGCCAGTAATGCGCCGACTAAGCTGCGAAATCCCACCAAGATCATTTGGAAGGGCTTCAATCGCTGGACGCGGTAAGTCGAAGGTTTCCACTCCTCTTTTTCCTATGATCATCTAAGTATGTTTCCTCGAAGGGCCGTAAACTGGACCATGATCATTCCGGTTCCCTATGCCCCCGATGAGTGGGACTCCATGCACACCCTTAAAATCCTGAATACCTCCTACATGGTGGGCATCACCGACTGCATCTGGCAACTGGGAACGGATTTCGGCACCGCGAGGGCCAAGGATTACGTTCAGGAACTGCGAACTCTCAAATTGATGACGGATACCTTTAAACCGTATGTGGATGACTGGCGAATGATGGGGGCGGACATCTCGGCGGGAAGCAGTGCCGATGAAACCAAGAGATACGTGGATATGTCCAAGGATCTGAACACGGCCTTCGGGTGGACGCAGTAAGTTATAAAATAGTTTATTATTTTTATTTTTCTATAATATGAAATTATTTAAAAGTTCTATCCATTATTTAATCTAATTTTGGAAGAATCTTTTGTGATCTATTAAAAGTTATGATTTTTATATTATACTAAAATCTTTTTCCTAATTTCAGGCCCGCAAACATGGTACCCAAGACGAGCTTGGGAAGCTACATTTACGACAACGATGCCGCCCTGCGAATCCTCCGACAACAGCGTGTTCCCTTGTGGTTGACTTTGCCTGAGGAGCGATCCTCTCAGAGATTAGTAGGTGACGAAACCACAGATGCCCTGCGATGGGCCCAGACTTTGGGAGATGCTGCGACCAGTGGATTCGACATGGTTTTCAAGCGGATGACCCTTGTGGACTTTGAGCGACCCAATTTCGGTCTGTATGTGACGGCCTTGTTCAAGAAGGTCATGGGATCGAGGGTGTTTCCATCCCGACCCCTGAATGCCTTTGCTCCGAGCAACAAGCTCTATACCCATTGTGCCAATGCCGTCTCGGGTGGATTGGCTTTCATGGTGGTCAATACGGAGGAGCAGCCAACCACGATTACGGTGAAGAGTCCCAGTCGTCTTACCAGCAGTGAAATCTGGCAGTATGTGCTCACTGGTCTGGACCAAAGGGTGCAGCTGAATAATGTCCGTTTGCATCTTAACACCACTCTGCGTCCCTTGATCAAACCCATTGATCCCACTAAGCCACTGCAACTGATCACGCCCAGCATGTCGGTGAGCTTCTGGGTTTTGCCCGATGTCAATCTGGAGCACTGCCAGTTCACGGAGATCGAGGCGGGCGATTCGAGTGTCGAATCCTCCTCCTCCAAGGAGAAGCGTCGTACATCCCGCTATAGTTCTGCCGATCGATTGCTCCAGCGGTTGATCGAGGAGACTGCAGTTGCCAAGGGATCGGTTCAAAGTTCCATTAATCGCAATCGACGATTTGTCGTTGATAAGGAAGACACTCCAGAGAGCCTCCTCGATCGCCTTCTCCAGCATTTTAAGGATGACAGTCCTCCAAAACGGGAGGTGGGCGATGACAAGGAGAAGTCAGTGAAACCCCATAAAGCTTTGGCCTGGCTGTATCAGGTCCTCGAGCAAACCCGCGATGTGAACAAAAAGCGGTCCAGGCGAAGCACTTCCAGATATTCGGGACCCTTCTTCTACAATCGTCAGGGTAAGAAAACCGCCTTAACCAAGAAGATTACAGAGATTCGCAAGCCGGAAAGAAAGAACAAGCCTCTCTTCGACTTCGATGAGTTCGATGAGGAGAAGTTCTTTAAGCGTATCGGTGAGAAATCCGAGGAGGCACCCACTTACACTCGACTTCCAGAAGGTGATGTACATCTTAAGCATATAGAGAGTGTAGATGGCGAAGAAAACGAGCAGGAGCCTGAACCAGAAGTACCCAGGAAACGCAGAACCAAGTCCAGGAAGGAGCTGAAGATCATCCAGAGAGCTGCGGAAACAGACGATGAGCAGGAACAGGAACCGGAGCCAACCGAAGGACGTGCCAAGTTGCGTCTATTGCCCACGGAATTCTTTGAGGCTCTGCCGGCTCCCAAGCTCCCGCCGAGCAAGCGATTGAATCTGGGAGCCACCTTGAACTCCCTGCTCTTCCCAGAACCCTTCTCCAGCAAGGCCACCATGGCCAAGTCTGCTTCAATTAAATCCAAACCTGTAGAGGAACCCGAAGAGGATGTGGACCCAGTTCCAACTGCCAGAAGACGTCACTCTAGGATTGGTCATGTGGCAAATGATTTCTTTCAGGCACAAAAAGAGCTGGGAAAGCATTTCCTTAGTCACATCAACGAGCATGAGCACGAGTTTTCTCTAGGAGATGAGGGTTTGCGGGAGGGTTCGCCGGAATCGGAAAGTTCCGGGAAGAAATCCCTGACCCAGGACCTCTTTGGTACAAAGAAAAGCGCCCCCTCTCTGCATCAGAAATTACCTCAGAAGACGGCAGATGAAGGTATTACCTCTTGGTGGGATCTTCCAGCGATGAGAAGGCGTCGTGCAGTACCCCTAACCAACTCCCTAGACGAACTCCCCTCCAATGCCATAGACAAAGCAGATCGCGACGAGATGCTGCCCCTTGGAAGGTACACCTTCTACGAGTACAAGGTGGACCAGAGTCCAGAGAAGGACGTCAGCCAACCCAAAGAGGAAAAGGAGTCCAAAATCATGAAAATTAGCAGCAAGACTCAGAGTTCTGGTAAGGATCGCAGTCTTACAAAGCTCTCCGATAGCCTCGTCAGCACTGTGAAATCGAAGGTCTCTCGCTTCATAAACATCATATCCAATCACATGAACGAGTGGTACAACACGTTAACCAAGCATCTGGATTCAGAAATGGAACCTGAAAGACCACGCAGGCAAAACATCATCGAAAAGTAGAAATCTTTTGACATTTAACCCACTTCTGTAAACTTTCATCAGTAAAACCTTATGTAAATATTCATTTATGTACAATACACTCATTATTGCATTCAACGGAATCTTATTTGTGCGATAACTCTAGGGAGTTATCTCTCTCAAGTAAAAATCACAGGACTTAGGCAACGAACTAGATGGGCTTAGGATAAGCTTTTCCTAGATTTGTTGAACTGTCTTTATTGTACTTGTACATAAGACATCTACGTAATAAAAGGAAATTCAAATTAAGTATTGTCTTTTGTTTAATAGCTTAACCTTGGAGTTTTTCCGCTCTATAACTTCCAAACGGGACTTTAAATATGAAAAAAGGTTTATATATCAGTAGTTGAGAAATCTCAAGGGCTATAAAGTTTAAAATTTAAATAGAATTTGCCTCTTCCAATTTTTAGCTATAACTTTAAATCTATTGTATTTAGACAATTTAAGCAAAGGCATATTTTAATCATCCGTCTAATTACCCTAATCGTTTCCACTTTTGCGAGATTTTTTAAAGTTTTTGATGCAGTAATAATGTTTTTGCTATTATAAAAATTAATTACTGGCCATTATTTTCTTCTTCATAATTCGAAGCTCATTTCTTGAGCCGCATAACAACTGAGAAGCCTTGTGAAGCTCCCGATAGGTGGCTTTTCTAGACCCGCTTTCTTGAAAACCCACTCCCCCAGATCTTTCTCTTATTGTTGGTAACTAGTTTTTCTCCCACTTTGCTTCGCTCTTTCTTTCCGATTGCCTTGTGAGTAAAGACGGGCCCAAAGAGGAGCCAAGAAAGCGGCTAACCTGTTACCATGGCTATAACTGAAATAACAAAATCACCGCGACTATGGCAATACCAAACCTGTGGAGACGATCGCGCATTCTCCGCAGCCTCGGCTTTATAATCGGAACTCGGATTTCAGTCTCCGAGCAGTCGTTCAAGGCGAAGGTTGTGGCACAAGCTTTTGGATCTTCCGATACCGATTCGCACCGCAGATAGTCCAAAGTGCAGGTCAGCAGCAGTTGCTATAAATTATAGATCAGCCAAGAGCCAAAACAGGTGAGTGTGCA